ACTAAACCCAGTCTGGACTAGACAGTGTTTGTCGACAGCAGTGTAACTTAACCCAGTCTAGACTATTAGACAGTGCAGCCAGGCTTGGTTGAAAGCAGCGGTAGCAAACTCAACTCAGTCCTGGACTAGATGAAAGCATTACCGAATGAAAGAAAAGTGCACCAACCGCCCACCCATTGTGTGCAGCTATTTAGACGGCAAAGTGTAAAACCAACCCAGTCTAGACTACGGTGCAGCTATTTGACAGCAGTGTAAATCAAACCCCGTGTCTGGACTAGAGCAGCAGCCGCTCGACGCAAGCGTAATTCAACTAAGTCTGGACTACGAAAGCAGCTGCCTTGATTAGCAGTGTGTAACTAACCCAGTCTGGAATTTTAGACAGTGCAGCCAGCCGACAGCAGTGTGTAATCCTCAACCGCCCCACCTGACAGTGCAGCTGTTTGACAGCAAAAAAATCAACCCCAGTCTGACTCATTGCAGTTTGCTGACAGCAGGTGTAACTAACCCAGTCTGACTAGACAGCGGCCGGTTTTACAGCAGCGTAACCAACCCAGTCTATCAGACAGTGCGCTTCGTTTGACAGCAGTGTGTAACTAACCCAGCCCAGGATCTAGATGGCGCTTGCTCATTGTTGCGTAAACCAAACCAGCCCAGACTATTATTATGGTGCCGCCTTTATAAAAGCAGCGGTAGAATTAACCCAGTCTAGACCGTACGTTTTAGCTGTACGAAAGCAGTGTGTAAATCAACCCAGCCCTGACTAGACAGTGCTGCCGCTCGGCGGCGCAACTTAAACCCGGCAGTCCAATTTAGGGATAAAGTGTTTCGCCTTTGACAGCAATGTGTAACCAAACCCAGTCTAGACGAATGCAGCTGTTTGACAGTGCGCGTAACTAAACCCTGACTAGACTAGATGAAAGCAGCCATTTGACAGCAGTGCGGTTCAACCCAGTCTGACTGTGATTGCGCCGCTCGAATAGCAGTGTGTAAACTTCAACCCAGCCCAGGACGATAGTGCAGCTGTTTGACAGGGTGCGCAAACCAACTCCAGTCTGATCTGCATCGCGCCAGTTTGACAGCAGTGTGTAACTAACCCAAGTCTAGACTAGACAGTGCTGCCGGTTTTGACAAAGCAGCAAAATTCAACCAAGTCTGGACTAGATTGCGCACCGAAGTTGACAGCAGTGTGTAAACTAACCCAGCTCCGGGAATTCGACAGAGCGAAATGTAATGAAAGTATGTGTAAAACCAAACCCGGTCGGACTAGACAGCGCTCGTTTACGTGCGCGAGTGTGTAATCTGAACCCCGCAGCCCTTGCACTAGACAGTAGCTGTTTGACAGAAAGAAATCAACCGAAGTCTAGGATCTAGATAGTGCAGCTGTTTGACAGCAGTGTGTAACTCAACCCAGTCTGGATCAATACAGTGCTGCTGCTTCATTGAAAGCAGGTAACGTAAACCGCAAGTCTGGACTTAATGTTTAATCTGTTGGACAAATTTCATGCAACCAACCCCAGCCTCGACTAATGCGAGCTGCCGCATGGTTATGCAGTAAATCTAACCCAGCCTGGACTAGATAGAGCAGCTGTTTTGATGTAAGCAGTAACTAAATCCAGCCCTGGACTAGGATATGCGCAGCTGGGTTTTGACAGCAGTGTGTAATCAACCCAGTCTAGACTAGGTTATGCGCAGCTGTTTGACAGTTAAGTGGGGTAAAGCCAGTTCTTGAATTTGTGATAGTGCACCCTGTATCGACAAGCAGTGTGCACCCTATTCCAGCCTGGAATAGACAATGGAATCTCCAAACGTCCTTTTGTCCATTTTTTCCAAGCGCTGCTTTTTACTTCTCGAATGGGACTCTGCGACGTTTAACAATACATCCAGCCTTGCGCACAAACCAATCCGGAACACCTGCGCTGTCATCAAGTCATCCTTTGGTATTACGACTGGACACGTGTCTGGTGGAGCGACCTCAGGAAGCCGTGCTGCACTCTTGACTGGGCGCCGTTCTTTCTATGCTCTCACAAAACCTCTTGTTCCTACCCGCTGACACGGTATCACAAGCCCTGCCCTGGTCCACAAACCTACAGAAGGTGGGGGCGTACATGAACAACACACTTCACCGCCGCGCAGCAGATCAGAGAAAATTCAGTGAGCCTCCAGATAGTATAATCCATTTGGATCCAAGCTTCGCAGCAGATAAAGATAATAATACGGAAGTGTCGCGCCGGTTAACCCTACCGAGTTATTGGACGCCAGGGTTAGGGTTAGGGTTAGGGCTAGGGCGGAAGTTAGGGTTAGGAAGAAATAGGGGACCCAATCGAATATGTCCTCGGCGTAATACATGTTCATTATTTGTTGCTGTGTTTTTCCTTTTCGCATTTCTAACACTTTTTACTACACAAAGCCGGCGCACACGATGAAATGGCTCTTGACACGTGGGCTACCGGAAACTGTCCTGGAACTTGCATTCAAGCCAATTTCCACACGCCAAGAATTTGTTCAGCAAATGAAATCGAATGCTAACTCATCCTCATGGTCTTATTCAGACATGCTCATGCGATCCATTGTGCATCCTTGTAGTGTTCCCCTACGACACTGTTCTGTCACCATATCACCCTATAATATTCATAATTGCACGGCATTCATACATACCGTGAATTCGACGTCTGACGCCTGACGTCAACAGCCGCTGTTTTCAGTTCGCCCGGCTCATTTCCCACCACACGGGATCTTGTAGATTACGGAATGGGACGAGTGTGCCAAATGGAATCAGGAACATTAGTCATCTACCCTCAACCTTCGTAATTATCACTGATCTATTCGACTCTTTCCGTTCATTTCCGTAACGGCTTAGGAATGCTGTATTCTAAAGGTGCTCCGATCAGATGTATACGAGAATGTTGAAGAGTAACCTCAGCGAGTGTATAGCCCATATGGATCCAAGCTCCATGGAGTATATAATCATTTTTTGGGTGTTCCCCTCAGCAAAATATATTGACAGCTCCACCATATATGATAACAAATTAGGTTGTTCCCCACAGCAAATATATTGACAGCTCCACCATATATGATGACAAATTAGGTTGTTCCCCACAGCAAATATATTGACAGCTCCACCATATATGATAACAAATTAGGTTGTTCCCCACAGCAAATATATTGACAGCTCCACCATATATGATAACAAATTAGGTTGTTCCCCACAGCAAATATATTGACGACAGCTCCACCATATATGATAACAAATTAGGTTGTTCCCCACAGCAAATATATTGACAGCTCCACCATATATGATGACAAATTAGGTTGTTCCCCACAGCAAATATATTGACAGCTCCACCATATATGATAACAAATTAGGTTGTTCCCCACAGCAAATATATTGACAGCTCCACCATATATGATGACAAATTAGGTTGTTCCCCATAGCAAATATATTGACAGCTCCACCATATATGATAACAAAATTAGGTTGTTCCCCACAGCAAATATATTGACAGCTCCACCATATATGATAACAAATTAGGTTGTTCCCCACAGCAAATATATTGACAGCTCCACCATATATGATAACAAATTAGGTTGTTCCCCATAGCAAATATATTGAGAGTCCCACCATATATGATAACAAATTAGGTTGTTCCCCACAGCAAATATATTGACAGCTCCACCATATATGATAACAAATTAGGTTGTTCCCACAGCAAATATAATGACAGCTCCACCATATATGATGACAAATTAGGTTGTTCCCCATAGCAAATATATTGACAGCTCCACCATATATCATGACAAATTAGGTTGTTCCCCACAGCAAATATATTGACAGCTCCACCATATATGATAACAAATTAGGTTGTTCTCCCCAGCATTTATATTTTGAGAGTGCCACCATATATGACTGTATCCTAGGTTGTTCCTCCGAGCTGGATCTCGCCTTTATCCTGGACGGGTCGGGAAGTATTCACCAAGATGAGTTTGAACGGGTGAAGGGCTTCTGTCATCAACATCGCACGTGACTTCAACATCTCTAAACAGGGCGTTCAGCTCGCCGTTGTCGAGTTCAGCAGCCATGTTGGTGACGTTATCCACCTGAACAGGTATTGTTAACACCCAGGTATTGTTAACACCCAGATATTGTTAATACCCAGGTATTGTTAACACCAAGGCATTGTTATTACCCAGGTATTGTTATTACCCAGGTATTGGTAACACCCAGGTATTGGTAATTATTAATTTCGTTTAGTATCACCGCACAGATCCCGATGACAGAAGCTTCGCAGGTCATTCAGTTCAGTAGTATACACAACATGTAAGTACAAATCACTGACAGACTTGTATGCGATCTGTCAGTACAAACCACAGCACGTCTTACAGACTTGTATACGATCTGTCGGTAAGACCACAGAACACCTGACAGACTTGTATACGATCTGTCAGTATGACCACAGAACACCCTGACAGACTTTAGATAAGATAGGATAAGATAACATAATGCTTTATTATCCCGAAGGAAATTTGTTTTGCACGGTTAACATTGAAGACATAAGACCACAAAACACCCATACATATGTCAAATATTACTAAAATACCTAGCAACAACGGCCAACATATGAGGCAAAGATCAATGATGAATAAATACTAATATATATAAGACTTAGAGCTATAGTGGCGACATTAAAACATTTGCTAAGGAACATTTGCACTAAAAGAATATTAATATAACAGTTTAAAACAATTGATAAAGTATTCTAAGATGATTTACAAAACATTGGAATACTGTATTATATGTCAGTACGACCATAGAACACCTTACAGACTTGTATACGATCTGGGGCGGTGGGGTAGCCTAGTGGTTAAAGCGTTGGCTCGTCACGCAGAAGACCCGGGTTCGAATCCCCACATGGGTACAATGTGTAAAGCCCATTTCTGGTGTCCCCGCCGTGATGTTGCTGGAATATTGCTAAAAGCGGCGTAAAACCAAACTCAGTCAGTCAGTCACTATACGATCTGTCAATATGACCACAGAGCGCATTATAGACTTGTGTACTATCTGTAGATTAAGCATTAGAGACTTGTTGTAGCCGAGATGCATCTAGTACTGTTTGTATGGACACACAGGCACTCGGACTTGGCCTCCCTGAGCAGCGCCATTGCCAGAATCCAGAAGACCGGACAGACCACAAACACAGCGGCCGCTATTGATGTTGTGACGTCATCAATATTCACGGCCAGTGAAGGCGCCCGTGCTAACGCGAAGAGAGTGACCGTCCTGCTGACCGATGGTGCTTCAGGCGATCGTCCTGCGACCGTTGCTGCCGCTCAGAAGGCCAAAGACAAAGGTGTGATCATGTTCACCGTTGGGGTAGGCAGTGTTAACGAGGAGGAACTCAACAACGTCGCCAGGAAACCCAGTTGCACCCACTTCTACAAACTCAACAGCTTCGGGGAGATCGACCACCTGGTGTATGACATCAAGAAGCGGTCGTGTACAGGTAAGCGGTGTCCGGAGTCTGAGCAGGAAGACTTTATCATTGTCTTACTTTCTGAGCAGATGGATATAGGGCTGTCTGACAGTCTGAACAGGTACACGTTGGCATTTTCTGACTGTTTGAGCAGGTGAACGTAAGCGTTGCCTGGCACTTTGATTAGGGAGACATGGGCATTGTCTGAGGTAAGCATTGTCCGGTAGCCTGATCTGGTTGACATAAGCATTGTCTGAGGTAAGCATTGTCCGGTAGCCTGATCTGGTAGACATAAGCATTGTCTGAGGTAAGCATTGTCCGGTAGCCTGATCTGGTTGACATAAGCATTGTCTGAGGTAAGCATTGTCCGGTAGCCTGATCTGGTTGACATAAGCATTGTCTGAGGTAAGCATTGTCCGGTAGCCTGATCTGGTTGACATAAGCATTGTCTGAGGTAAGCATTGTCCGGTAGCCTGATCTGGTTGACATAAGCATTGTCTGAGGTAAGCATTGTCCGGTAGCCTGATCTGGTTGACATAAGCATTGTCTGAGGTAAGCATTGTCCGGTAGCCTGATCTGGTTGACATAAGCATTGTCTGAGGTAAGCATTGTCCGGTAGCCTGATCTGGTTGACATAAGCATTGTCTGAGGTAAGCATTGTCCGGTAGCCTGATCTGGTTGACATAAGCATGGTCAGACAATCTGACGCACACAAAAACGTTGTCCGGCCGTCTCAGAAGGCGTGAGAACTGTCCGGCAGTCTGAGCAGAAGAAACCCATACACGTTTACCGTTTTGAGCAGGTAGAGGTAAGGCTTTTAGTCGTCATTACCTTCTGCTACCCTTAAAGTATCATGTTTCATAGGATCTAAGGGGGCCACCTCTACGAAAAACCATGATTTTCGTCTTGCTTATGTTTACTTTCATTGGGTTCGTAGAGGCAGTTACAGGTAAGATCGTTAATCGGAAATATCGTCCATAAAAAGACTATTTATGAATATCGATATGAAAAATATTGTCAGCGATAATGACATGACAGGGTAAAGTTTTTAATTTACTCATGCAAATTAGGTTTAAATTCAGGGTTGTTTCTAAGTTATGTTCGTGTTTTGTAAGTAACCCATGTGTAAACCTTTGCACCGATCACGACTGGAGAGCGATATATTCATTTCTGTCAGACTATTTGGTATTTTTGCTTAAAGTTACTTCTCAGACATTTATCGATAATGGATCGATATTTGGTTAACTATTATCGCTATCCATGATATATATTGATAGGGAGCCTAGTTACAGATACGGTTACAGACATGTGTCTTCCCTCTGAACACAACACCGACGTCAAACAGCACTGGTACTTTGTGCCTGGCAACACGAAAATGACTGAATGAGTGAGTGAGGTGGGTTTTACGCCGTTTATAGCAATACTCCAGCAATATCACAGTTGGGGACACCAGGAGTATGCTTCACACATTGTAGCCATGTGGGGATTCGAACCCCAGTCTTCAGCGTGACGAGCAAACGCTTGAACCACTGGGCTACCCAACCGCCCGCGATGTTTGTTTGCTCACTTGATGAATGACGACATGCGTGATACCCTTTGATGCATGTGTCACACACTGGGGTGTGAGTGCGACTGATGTGTAACAGCTGACTCTTGCAGATGAACAAAGCTTAGTAATACGCACAATACGCACTATGTACGCACAATATATCGGCGTATCAAGGTCGACCTACACAGTTCTAGAACACGGATCTGTTGCCAATCCATTTCAGCCCCTAAAGTTATATCAGCAACATCCGATGATGACACGCCCTCCTCCGTGACCACGCCCCTCAGCATTGACCCAGTGAGGAACACCTACGTTCTACATCCAAACAATTCCGTCTCGGAGTCGGGAACGGAGAAAGTTATTGTGAGTACATCCATGGATTACTTCTACCTCTGCTTCTGATACCGCACTGTTTTGTATTCGTGCTGTATAAAATGATCACACCAGATACCCTCCACATGCTCTTGTATAAGTAAATTAAGCTCTTGTAAATTTATGCTTTACTGTAAATGGACTGTTATGTATTCCATGTCCTGATACACTTGTATAAGTATTCCGTACTGTACCGGATAGAGAATATATACTAGCCACATAAGGAAACTGTGCACACAGAAAATTCCTTCAGAATGGGAATACAACACAGCTTTCGACAGTGACTGCCATTTCAGAGTTTCACATGTTGTGTGCAGCTGCACGGGCTGCACGTACAGTAACACATTGCAAGTCGATAGGCCACCATCAATGACGTGACGTCGCCTGGCACGTGCATGAGCGTTTGATTGTCTCTGTTCACACCTGTATTTATGTATAAAGACGAGTTGTGCCTATATTTATATTTTCTGTGTGCAGTTTATTATGTGACCAGTATATAATATAATATTTCTGTAATAACTACCTACAGCATAGAGTGGTTTTGAGGAGTGACGCAACATGATAATTGTCTGCTAGATTGTATAGGATTGCCCTGCAGGGTCCCTGGTAGATTATCTGGTAAACTGACTGGTAAATTATGATTACACAATGCCACTTAGAAAGTGGTGAAATATAACGTATGTTATATGTGGGATTACACTTTACAGATTTTAATAATTTTGTAGGTTGAATCCTAATCACCATCATACAAAGACAGCGATCTAACCCCCTCAGCCAGCTTCCACTAGATAGCTTATCAGATTAGCGGCTAGACTGACTACTAGATAGCCTGGTAGAATAACGGCTAGATTGACTAATACATAGCCTGGTAGATTAACGGCTAGACTGACTAATAGATAGCCTGGTAGATTAGCGGCTAGACTGACTAATACATAGCCTGGTAGATTAACGGCTAGACTGACTAATAGATAGCCTGATAGATTAGCGGCTAGACTGATTAATAGATTGCCTGACCCAGATTGTCAGGCCAGGCTGACAGAAAATCTCCCGACATCGGCGTACAACCCTACGTTATGTTACAGAAAACTGATGTAGAATGTGGTATCCTGAATGTATACGCCTCCTATGACACGCCCAACCCTGGCCCAGCGTTCTACAGCGTCACGTCGCAGGTGGTGGACGGGCGACCTTCCATCATGAAGGTCAACACTACCAGGAAGGGAGACCACTCTTTGTGACCGTCATTGGCACCAAGCTTCAGGAGTCTTGCTCCGATATCTTGAAGTGCCGGGATGCCAAGTTCTCCCTTAGTGTAGAAGATGCCCTGTAACTTCTGGTACTTCATAATACAAAGTTTTTCCAGTGATATCACCATAGTTTCATTGAGAGTAATCTTTCTATTACTGGAAACATCCCGTGAAGATCCGGCTTAGAATTGATCTTTAGTAACTCATGTTTGTCGTAAGAGGCGACTAACGGGATCAGGTGTCAGGCTCGCTGATTTGATTGACACATATTATCATATACCATTTGCGTAGATCGATGCTGTTGATCACTTGACTGTCTGGTCCAGACTCGATTATCTACAGACCGCTGTCATATAGCTGGAGTATTGCTAAGTGCAGCGTAAAACTAAACTCACTCACTCACTCACTATTACTGAAATATATTATACTGTTCACCATTTTGTACACATATGATATAGTTGTCTCGCAACAGTCACACCTGGTTACAGTTGCTGAGGTGCTGTGTCGTACTTGGGAGGGGGGAACGCACGTGCACAGAAGCTGACCTGGTCAACAACGGATTCCTCGTCCCCTCGTGTCCACGTAAGACCTCAGGCCATGCTATTCAGAGCATTGGGTGAATGGCGCTGCGAGTTTCGAGTCTAAATAGATTATGTGTCTCCTAGCGAGAGACATTGGATATTATTCACGGGGATGTTTGACATTACCTACGAGAGATTTGGGACATCTTGTATGAGGCACATCAGATGTTTCCTACCAGAAACTGTTTTGGACAACGAGTTTAGGGACACTGCACAATGACCACAAGGACTTTTTACATAACTTACGAGTTGCTTTATATATTCATTAAGAGAGACGTCAGGATAAGACCTTAGAAATTATTCACAAGGGACGTCGGACATTATTCACGATAGATAGCAGGAAGTATTCACGAGGAGATTTAGGTATAAATCAGAAGGGGCTTTAGACATAGCTCAGGTCAAGCTTTAGACATAACTCCGAAGGGGCTTAAGATATGGCTCAGGTCAAGCTTTAGACAAAACTCAGCATGGGCTTTAGACATAGCTCAGGTCAAGCTTTAGACATAACTCAGAAGGGTCTTTAGCCATAGCTCAGGTCAAGCTTTAGACATAACTCAGAAGGGACTTAAGATATGGCCTCAGGTCAGGCTTAAGACATAACTCAGAAGGGGCTTTCAGACATAGTTCAGGTCAAGCTTTAGACATAGCTCAGAACGGGCTTGAGACATAGCTCAGGTCAAGCTTTAGACATAACTCAGAAGGGGCTTTAGACATAGCTCAGGTCAAGCTTTAGACATAACTCAGAAGGGGCTTAAGATATAGCTCAGGTCAAGCTTTAGACATAACTCAGAAGGGGCTTTAGACATAGCTCAGGTCAAGCTTTAGACATAAGTCAGAAGGGGCTTTAGACATAGTTCAGGTCAAGCTTTAGACATAACTCAGAAGGGGCTTAAGACATAGCTCAGGTCAAGCTTTAGACATAACTCAGAAGGGGCTTTAGACATAACTCAGGTCAAGCTTTAGACATAACTCAGAAGGGGCTTTAGACATAGCTCAGGTCAAGCTTTAGACATAACTCAGAAGGGGCTTTAGACATAGCTCAGGTCAAGCTTTAGACATAGCTCAGGTCAAGCTTTAGACATAACTCAGAACGGGCTTTAGACATAGCTCAGATCAACCTTTAGACATAACCTAGAAGGGGCTTTAGACATAGCTCAGGTCAAGCTTTAGACATAACTCAGAAGGGGCTTTAGACGTAACTCAGGTGAAACTTTAGACATAACTCAGAAGGGGCTTTAGACATAGTTCAGGTCAAGCTTTAGACATAAGTCAGAAGGGGCTGCAGACGTAAGTCAGATGGAGCTTTAGACATAACTCAGAAGGGGCTTTAGACATAGCTTAGGTCAAGCTTAAGACATAGACTCAGAGGGGCTTTAGATATAGTTCAGGTCAAGCTTTAGACATAAGTCAGAAGGGGCTGCAGACGTAAGTCAGGTGGAGCTTTAGACATAAGTCAGAAGGGGCTGCAGACGTAAGTCAGGTGGAGCTTTAGACATAAGTCAGAAGGGGCTGCAGACGTAAGTCAGGTGGAGCTTTAGACATAAGTCAGAAGGGGCTGCAGACGTAAGTCAGGTGGAGCTTTAGACATAACTCAGAAGGGGCTTTAGACGTAACTCAGGTGAAACTTTAGACATAACTCAGAAGGGGCTTTAGACATAGTTCAGGTCAAGCTTTAGACATAAGTCAGAAGGGGCTGCAGACGTAAGTCAGGTGGAGCTTTAGACATAACTCAGAAGGGGCTGCAGACGTAAGTCAGGTGGAGCTTTAGACATAAGTCAGAAGGGGCTGCAGACGTAAGTCAGGTCAAGCTTTAGACATAAGTCAGAAGGGGCTGCAGACGTAAGTCAGGTGGAGCTTTAGACATAACTCAGAAGGGGCTGTAGACGTAAGTCAGGTGGAGCTTTAGACAAAGTCAGAAGGGGCTGCAGACGTAAGTCAGGTGGAGCTTTAGACATAACTCAGAAGGGGCTGCAGACGTAAGTCAGGTGGAGCTTTAGACATAAGTCAGAAGGGGCTGCAGACGTAAGTCAGGTGGAGCTTTAGACATAACTCAGAAGGGGCTGTAGACGTAAGTCAGGTGGAGCTTTAGACAAAGTCAGAAGGGGCTGCAGACGTAAGTCAGGTGGAGCTTTAGACATAAGTCAGAAGGGGCTGCAGACGTAAGTCAGGTGGAGCTTTAGACATAACTCAGAAGGGGCTGCAGACGTAAGTCAGGTGGAGCTTTAGACATAAGTCAGAAGGGGCTGCAGACGTAAGTCAGGTGGAGCTTTAGACATAAGTCAGAAGGGGCTGCAGACGTAAGTCAGGTGGAGCTTTAGACATAAGTCAGAAGGGGCTGCAGACGTAAGTCAGGTGGAGCTTTAGACATAAGTCAGAAGGGGCTGCAGACGTAAGTCAGGTGAAGCTTTAGACATAAGTCAGAAGGGGCTGCAGACGTAAGTCAGGTGGAGCTTTAGACATAACTCAGAAGGGGCTGCAGACGTAAGTCAGGTGGAGCTTTAGACATAAGTCAGAAGGGGCTGCAGACGTAAGTCAGGTGGAGCTTTAGACATAAGTCAGAAGGGGCTGCAGACGTAAGTCAGGTGGAGCTTTAGACATAAGTCAGAAGGGGCTGCAGACGTAAGTCAGGTGGAGCTTTAGACATAACTGCAGACAATATTCACGAGACGAGAGACATGAGATAAAGTTCACGAGGGACGTTAGACATAAATTGTTTTGACATCAGACACTATTTAAAAGATACTTTAGATGCCATTAATGGGGATGGCAGAGAGTATTCGGCATGTCTTTACACCAGGTATTGGCAGGATTCGCGAGAGACGTTCCGTATCTTCTGACATTGCACGTGTGGAAGGTTTCCATGTCGCGGTGATGTACAACTCAGCAGCTGATGACTTCATACATAGATATCTGTCCTTCCAAGAGAAAAACAAACAAAAACAAACAAAAACACACGCACTAAGTGTCGGCCCAATATAGGCTAACACGAACCTTGTGTTCATATGAGGTAATTTAGTGAATGAAGAAAGGATGATAATGTTCTCATGTACGGAGCGTGCTGACGTCATACTATTCCCAGCACTGGAGGTCGCTTAGATACACATGTGCCAATTCATTAAGTTTAAATTCTCGAACTTTAACGCAATTATGGTAACATTGACATGATGTAGAACCCAGGGCGCTACACTCACCCCGGGATGGGACAGACTTAAGATGGTCACGCTCGGTGAAGTGACTCATGCAATACTCTTTGCGTCCTTCATGTTAGGGCATTGTGTGATAATGAATGGATGGTTCTGTTACTGCCACTAGCTGCAAACCCCCAGAACAAAAGGCCAGTAGAAATTCATACAGGTTACGTTCAGAGTTAGGGTTCTGTGATTGATATCGCCCCATACGTATATACATAAAGTTATACAATATCTACATCTTAACTACGTCAGTGCTTGTACTTCAGCAACCACCAGCACCGTGGACATCCGGGAACCTATCATCTCCAACCCCTGCATCAACGACGTCACCACGGCGAGCAACGGCTTCCAGCCTCATCCCACCGACGCCACCAAGTTCATCGTCTCAGACATCAGAGGAAACATGTACATCACAAGCTGTCCCAGCGATGGGATATTTAACAGTAGATCTAACACTTGTAACAACGCTCCAGTGTTCTCCCTCGCCGACACCGTTATCTACGCCGACCCCAACCTCGACTACATCTGTAACGACATGCTGGGTCCCAGCAAAATGCACTTCCCCCACCCTACGAACAAGGCACTGTACATCCAGTGCAGTTTGCTGAGCGTCGCGTTCGTCAGACCATGTGGCAACGGGACCGTCTACAATGATGACTTTCAGAACTGCGCAGACGTCGCCTCCGACCCTGTGAAAGTCAAGGTTGCTGAGAATCCATGTAAGACCGCACGTGTTGGCTCCCTGCACGCCCACTCCGATCCCAAAAAGTTCCTTCAGTGTACTTCCTTCGCCCCGTACGCCATCAAGTCATGTGGGATGGGTACCCGGTGGGATGATGTTTTGAAGACATGCGGCTGGTAATGGCCGCAGCACACGGACAGACAACAGAGATACCAGCAAACTTGTCCTCATAGCAGAAACATCGTCACATCGTCAGAACATCCTACAACATGACGACATCTTGTATTGGTGATATCTGTTGCCATTGATGTAAACATTTTATCCGTTGTAATTAACCTTAAATACACCATGCCACTATCGCTACTAACGTTGTTGTTTTATTGCCTCGACTGTGCCTGCCGCAGACAAAGGGACGTAAAGAACAGTGTTGTTTGTTGATTCATATTACAACAACACATGTGGTTTGTGGCTGGGGCTCAGCTCTCTCGAACAACTGACTGAGTTTGGTTTTACGCCGCTTTTAGCAATATTCCAGCAATATCACGGCGGGGGACACCAGAAATGGGCTTAACACATTGTGCCCATGTGGGGAATCGAACCTGGTCTTCGGCGTGACGAGCGAACGCTTTAACCACTAGGCTACCCCACCGCCCCTCTCTCGAACAACATATAACCACTTGCCCTAACAAAAGCCCAAACACAACCCAAACACACATCGCAACACACACACCAACACACAAAGGACACACACCAACACACACAACCATACACCAACACACACCAACATACACCAACACACACACCAACACACATCTCAACACACACACCAACACACATCTCAACACTCATATCAGCACACACCAACACACACACAACACACACACCAACACACACACCACACACACATATCAACACACACACCAACACACCACAAAACACACACCAACACACACACCAACACACATATCAACACACACACCAACACACACCGACACACACCAAACACACACACCAACACACACCAAGCACACACACCAACACACACCAAAACACACACCAGCACACACCAAGACACACACAGCACACACACCCAACACACACACCAGCACACACCAACACATCCCATCACAACACATCCCAACACACACACCAGCACACACCAGGACACATCCCATCTCAACACATCCCACACATCCCAACATACACCCCAACACACACCAGAACACATCCCTTCTCAACACATCCCAACACACACCCCAACACTGGTCCGCTCTCGATTATTTACAGAGTTCGGCATAAAGCTTAACCCACTCACTCACACATTTTTACGTCACAGCTGCTTGTCTCATTTTCAAACTCCCCAAACAACAAACAATAAACAATAAACAACAAACAACAAACACCACCACACTCAATCCCCATTGTACCTAAAACACCACCACCAGCCTGGCTGGGTCAGCTATTAGTCACACAGTGTACACAGCACCAAGCACAATGGTTTCCCGGGAAAATACTTCTACTCAGGGCGTGCATAGTGCGTAGGAAGATTTGTACCTGTCTCAAGATGGGCTTGTACATCTCGATCAGTTCTAGTGTTTTATTATCTCTCACTGTAAGGACCATATACATATAAATATAGTACTTGTTGCAAGAACCCGGATCTGGTATCGACAGCATGTTGCTTGTGACAGCTTGTTACACGTGTAAGTGGGACCAGGAAGTGTTGGTTTACACGAAATAGCAGACAACGTTGCTGATATCTATTGTATTCTCTTGTTTACTCGCCAAATTCTAGAGAGAGCGAAAGTGGTGGGAAGTGGGGTGGGGTGGGGGTGGGGTGTGTGGGGTGGGGTGGTGGTGGTGGTGGCGACGCGCCTTAGTGTGAGTGAGTGAGTTAACATTTAAAGTCACATCTGCAATATTTTAGCCATTTCGTGACTAGCAAAGGTTGTATTAATTAAAACTAACATAATATATATATATATATCTGTCGACAATGGACAGTAAAATAACTAGAATATCACATAGTTACATGCAACGCTAGCACACAACCATAAAACAATATTTCCACACACGACCTATCACAAAAAAGGGTGATAGATCACCATACTAGGGACCATGGGGGCCTTACAGAACTTTTGTTACCTGCATGGACCTTAGCAGGATTTACACCATCCCTTGTTGATTCTCGACAACCCAAGTCATAAATGGAAAAAGACACGTATGGGTTTTGTGAGTGTGTGGGTGTGTGTGGGGGGGAAGGGGGATGAGGGGTGGGGGAGGTTGTCAGGTTGCGACACACTCCTTAAGTGTACAGGCTTTGAAGAACAGACGAAATATATTATTCTACCGACAACGTGACAGCAATGTCTTGGGTGTAGTACTCCTTCCCATGTCGTAGGGGCGCTAGGGTAGCCTAGTGGTTATAGCGTTCGCCCGACAACCCAATGTGTGAAGTTCATTTCGGGTGTCCCCCGCCGTGATATTACTGGAATATTGTAGAAACTCACTCACTCACTCACCTGCCTGACACTAGTGCTCCATATGTCTCAGCCTATTCCACTCAAGTCAAGTCATCTCTTCACCACACTGCGTATATATGTTGTGTTTGTTTCATCTTCCAGTGTCAAATAAACAACAGTACCCGAGAAGATGAACGTATCCTGCCCCACCTGTTACATCCGTCAGTAACACACGCAAAGACAAGTCAATTGGAAAACACGTTAAAATACGCAATGTAAATATATGTCATTATTATGTCAAATTTGTGTCAACCAAGTTGTCGAGCCTGACTGCCTGAACCCTGTGTCGCCTCTTACGACAAGCATGGGTTGATGAACACCACCTCTGACTTCTTGTGCATTTTCTCGAGACAGTGATGCATGTGTGCATGACGTATCCTGGCTGGTTACACAGTGATGGTTCACGCATGGACATCACACGCTATGCCATAGTGCTACAGGACATCACACTATGCCTCAGTGCTACAGGATATCACACACTATGCCTTAGTGTTACAGGACATCACACACTATGCCATAGTGCTCCAGGATATCACACGCTATGCCTCAGTGCTACAGGATATCACACACTATGCCTTTGTGCTATAGGACATCACACACTATGCCTTAGTGCTACAGGACATCACACACTATGCCTTAGTGCTACAGGATATCACACACTATGCCTTAGTGCTACAGGACATCAAACGCTATGCCATAGTGCTACAGGACATCACACACTACGCCTTAGTGCTACAGGACAGCATGCTTTATGCAGTTACATGGCAATTAGTAATGCGACTGTAGTATAGGTTCGAGGACTTGATGGATCATTTTTCACGGTAACCGTTGTACGTTGGTCATACTATCAATCACTAGTTGTATGTCGTCGACTGTGCAACGGCTATCATCATATTGGGTCTACTCTTGGTACGACTGAGGTTGTACAACACATACAACAGATAGCCATACAAATACGCCAATGAATCACCCACTCGTTACTTTCGATTTCAGATCAACTTATATTTATGAGACAGAGTGATATATATTAACTGCCTCATCCTGTGACTGGGGGACCACTTGTTTGTTTAGTAAACGGTTGACAACGCCACTTGGGGCAATGCCATCATGTCGTAGATCTTAAGAACAGATTTCAATTGTAAATCATTTAATAAAAACGCTTTTGGTTTGTTCAACGTGTCGTCTTTTTTCGTCACTGGCAGAGCACACTTATCTTCCTGGTTGGGTGATTAAGGGTATAAATACGCGGTTGCATCCAGGTACCACAGTAGAGGTAGATGAAGACTATGTTGTACTTGCTGCTGTTTGTCCTCTTGCCTGTGACGCTGGCTTCCAACGGGGGTGCGGATCTCACCCTCACTGCGGGGACTGGCGGGAGCGTGGTTGTCAACGCTGCAGTCGACAGGATCAGATCTAACTGCATCCTCGGGGACGACCGACTCTTCCTGCGGCGTCTGGCCTACGTGGAGACAACCGACGGAGAAGATCCTGATACATACAGGCCAGGCTATGATGGTGGACTGTGGCAGGTAAAGTATCTTCTAGAAGGCTGTAGTACTCTGTGAAGTAAAGAATCCTGTAGAACGCTGTAGTACTGTGAGAAGTAAAGTATCCTGTAGGACGCTGTAGTACTGTGTGAAGTAAAGTACCCTGTAGAACGCTGTAGTACTGAGTCAAATAATGTATCCTGTAGAACGCTGTAGTACTGTGTGAAGTAAAGTATCCTGTAAGACGCTGTAGTACTGTGTGACGTAAAGTACCCTGTAGGACGCTGTGATACTGAGTGAAGTAAAATACCCTGTAGAACGCTGTAGTACTGTGTGAAGTAAAGTATCCTGTAGAACGATGTAGTAGTGTCTGAAGTAAACTATCATGTAGAATGCTGTAGTACTGTGTGAAGTAACGTATCCTGCAGGACCCTGTAGTACTGTGTGAAGTAAGGCATCATGTAGGACGCTGTAGTACTTTGTGAAGTGAAGTATCCTTTAGGACGCTGTAGTACTGTGTGAAGTAAAGCATCCTGTAGAACGCTGTAGTGCTGTGTGAAGTAAAGTATCATGTAGGACGCTGTAGTACAGTGTGAAGTGAAGTATCCTGTAGGACCCTGTAGTACTGTGAAAATTAAAGTATCCTGTAGAACGCTGTAGTACTGTGTGATGTAATGCATCCTGTAGAACGCTGTAGTACTCTGTGAAGTAATGCACCCTGTAGAACGCTGTAGAGGCGAACACAACCATATTGTAGACAGACAGATTGCCATCAACAAGTGTGTCATCAGTTTGAAGGACATGGTCCGTCAACAATCGAGGCCGATACCTTCCATTTTTTACCATCCCAACATTTAACAGCATCAGACCTGCACTTATACCGATGTATATGATATAGATATTAGGCGATGTAAATTATTAACATGTGTCATGTAAAACAAAAGGTGCTGGGTAAGTGAGAATGACCCCACAACGTGCTGCCCCTGCAGTGACTTATGAACCATGATACGCTAGTACTGTCACTGGATTATATCTACACAAACATACAGTGACTTGTGAACCATGATACGCTATTACTGTCACTGGATTATATCTAAACAAACATGCAGTGACTTATCAACCATGATACGCTAGTACTGTCACTGCAGTGACTTATGAACCATGATACGCTAGTACTGTCACTGGATTATATCTACACAAACATGCAGTGACTTATGAACCATGATACGCTAGTACTGTCACTGGAGTATATCTACACACACACTGTGACTTATGAACCATGATACGCTATTACTGTCACTGGATTATATCTACAAACACACACAGTGACTTATCAACCATGATACGCTATTGTTGTCACTGGATTATATCTACACAAGCATACAGTGACTTATGAACCATGATACGCTAGTACTGTCACTGGATTATATCTACACACACACACAGTGACTTATGAACCATGATACGCTAGTACTGTCACTGGAGTATATCTACACACACACTGTGACTTATGAACCATGATACGCTATTACTGTCACTGGATTATATCTACAAACACACACAGTGACTTATCAACCATGATACGCTATTGTTGTCACTGGATTATATCTACACAAGCATACAGTGACTTATGAACCATGATACGCTAGTACTGTCACTGGATTATATCTACACACACACACAGTGACTTATGAACCATGATACGCTAGTACTGTCACTGGAGTATATCTACACACACACTGTGACTTATGAACCATGATACGCTATTACTGTCACTGGATTATATCTACACAACATACAGTGACTTATGAACCATGATACGCTATTACTGTCACTGGATTATATCTACACAACATACAGTGACTTATGAACCATGATACGCTATTACTGTCACTGGATTATATCTACACAACATACAGTGACTTATGAACCATGATACGCTATTACTGTCACTGGATTATATCTACACAACATACAGTGACTTATGAACCATGATACGCTATTACTGTCACTGGATTATATCTACACAACATACAGTGACTTATGAACCATGATACGCTTTTACTGTCACTGGATTATATCTACACAATCATACAACAGACCAGTTGTTCATCGTCACGTCGTCGTTACATTCCCTCAGATAGACGAGGACAAGTTCCTGGAAACCACGTCCTGTGCGTCCTCAATATCTGCTGAATGCGCCTCAATCCAGTCAGCTTTCAAGATCGACTGGCGCAGTACATCCTGGGCAGATCTGAGAAAGCCTCTCTATTCCGGTTTGGCAGCGGCACTGTATATAAAGAAGTACAACAGTCGCAGCCTTCCTGGTGACGTCACTAGCCAAGCCACGTTCTGGGCTTCGAACCTCAGACCAGGAGGATCAATGGATGACTTCATCGCTAAAGCTAAGGGACTGAAAGGCATCGGTAAGTAGGAGAGACACACTGATTGTCCGTGAATACGAGGTTCAATAAGGAGTCACTAATTAGATAAAAAGTATTATAATAAAATTAAAAAAACAAAATGATTTCATTATTCAGTTGTTCAGTTTTGCTTCTTAATGGCCGGCATATTGAATCATTTTTCTCATTAGTAGCCATAAATAGGACATGATTGCTTTTTCAAGTTATCATTAATTTCAACTCAGACTGCGGAACACAGCTTGATCTCGCTTTCATTCTGGATGGTTCTGGGAGCGTCTCCACAAGTGACTTCAGGCGGATGCTTGACTTCATCGCTGACATAGTGTCAGAGTTAGACATATCGGAGGATGGCGTGAAGGTGTCAACTGTTGAATATGCTTCGAATGTCGGCGGGGATATTCTCTTTAAAAGCTTTACCACCAAGGACAGTTTGTTAAACTCTATAAGTACAATTAGAAAGAGCGGCGGTGGCACCAACACTGCTGCAGCCATCCTCCACACTGTCGACGTCCTGTTCAGCCCAGCAGCAGGTGCCCGGCCTAACGCCAAGCGGGTAGCCATCCTCCTCACAGACGGCAGATCCAGCAGTAAAACAGCCACCATCAGCGCGGCCTCTAAAGCTAAAGACGACCGCATAACAATGATATCAGTTGGTATTGGAAACATTGATGAATCCGAGCTGAAGGCCGTGGCAACCGAACCTGACTGTACCCACGTCATCATCCTGAACGACTTCACAGAGATTGACAGCCTGCTGTACCAACTGAAGGACAGCTCCTGTGGAGGTAGGCGAATCCTTGTGCTACACACTCACCCGCGTTCATTGCTGTGGAAAGGTAAACCTGTAGCCATTGGCTATGAATCAGACATACATATAGGGACAGTACATGACGTTTGCTTTCATCGTTGGTCTATTTATCAGCTAGTTGGTAGATATGGGATGTGAATAATCTTCTACTTGTATCAGCAACACGTCTACCAGTTCCAATGACTTTCGTTTTCAGCGCCAACTGTTGTTGACAAAGTCACGCCTATCGTGACGCCCCTGCCAGTGAACATCACCGTAGACGACTCGTTTGTTGTTGAGGAGGACCCCGCAACCCCGGATGACGGTGATGACGAAGTTATTGTAAGTGTAAATTTCGCATCAGACCATAAAAGAATTTGCTTTTTACCTTCTTTTTGTTTTTAGGAGAGGTAACGGGAAGGGGTACCTTGTACTGGGCTTAACAAAATGCCTAAACTCTGCAACATCCGATATGTAATTTGTTCAATATCTGATAATCATGTAATACAATATCTGATAATCATGGAATACAATATCTGATAATCACATAATACAATATCTGATAATCATGTAATACATTATTGATAATCATATCATACAATATCTGATAATCACGCCGAAAAGACAGATCTTGTGATTCACCTTCATACGAACTATCATGTTTGATTATTGAGGTTGGTGAGGTTATCTGTGGCACCCTGGCAATGTACGCCTCCTACAGCACCCCTCGTCCCGGTCCCGCCTTCTACGACTCCAAGGACAGCGCCAGTGATGGCAAACCGGGAGTTATATACTTCAACAAGGCCATGAAGGGGAGACCACTCTACATTACTGTCATAGGAAGTCGACTCCCTCTTACCGTTGATCAAATGCCTTCTTGCATCAACGCAAGCTTTAGCGTGGGAATTTCACAGCTGCCATCAAGTAGGTCACTTTATTGAAAAATAGCAGATGTCATCTGTCGAGAGAGTCTGATTGAGAAAGATAGTAACACCTGTATTTGTCTATAGAGAGGTGGAGGTCATCTGTCGAGAGGGCCTGATTGAGAGAGATAGTAACACCTATATTTGTCTATACAGAGGTGGAGGTCATCTGTCGAGAGGGCCTGATTGAGAGAGATAGTAACACCTATATTTGTCTATACAGAGGTGGAGGTCATCTGTCGAGAGGGCCTGATTGAGAGAGATAGCAACACCTATATTTGTCTATACAGAGGTGGAGGTCATCTGTCGAGAGGGCCTGATTGAGAGAGATAGTAACACCTATATTTGTCTATATAGAGGTGGAGGTCCTCTGTCGAGAGGGCCTGATTGAGAGAGATAGCAACACCTGTATTTGTCTATATAGAGGTGGAGGTCATCTGTCGAGAGGATCTGATTGAGAAAGATAGTAACACCTGTATTTATCTATACAGAGGTGGAGGTCATCTGTCGAGAGAGTCTGATTGAGAGAGATAGTAACACCTGTATTTGTCTATAGAGAGGTGGAGGTCATCTGTCGAGAGGGCCTGATTGAGAGAGATAGTAACACCTGTATTTATCTATACAGAGGTGGAGGTCATCTGTCGAGAGGGCCTGATTGAGAGAGATAGTAACACCTGTATTTGTCTATACAGAGGTGGAGGTCATCTGTCGAGAGGGCCTGATTGAGAGAGATAGTAACACCTATATTTGTCTATACAGAGGTGGAGGTCATCTGTCGAGAGGGCCTGATTGAGACAGATAGTAACACCTGTATTTGTCTATACAGAGGTGGAGGTCATCTGTCGAGAGGGCCTGATTGAGAGAGATGGTAACACCTATATTTGTCTATACAGAGGTGGAGGTCATCTGTCGAGAGGGCCTGATGGAGAGAGATTGTGACACCTATATTTGTCTTTTCAGAGGTGGAGGTCATCTGTCGAGAGGGCCTGATTGAGAGAGAGTGCACAAAGGATGACCTGGAGGACAATGGATTCAGCTGTGATGGTATGTACAGTAGTATTACATTTCACCATGCGCTGGACTTCGTGAGTTATGTCATGAATATTTTGTTTGAATTAATAGAGATACAGGTGTCCTTGTTTCCACTTTGTGTTCATCTGGTGAAGCAGTGTTAGAAATGATATCAACGTTGTTGTAATGGAAGACATGTAACGTAAGTCACTTTAACAAGTTTAGAGATACACTTTGTCCTTTTTCCATTAAGAAACCAAGTTGGTTATATTCGACATTGGCACATGCAGCTTGCAGTAGCTTTCAAAACAAGACTGCATCTAAATAAACAATAGCCTTTATTCATAACACCAGCAGCAGCGGTGTGATGAAGTATGTACAGAAGACGGCCAATGTTGTAGTGTATCAGACCATCTCCGTATCTTCATTGTATATTTCTACTGTGAGATGAAGCAACAGAATGCTACTAAAATGCCCCACCGTGAACTATAATGCCTTTCAACGAACGTATATGCCCTCTAATGAACTAAATTGCCCTCCCATGAACGTCTGAAGTACATCTTTGCATGTACCTAAAGAGCAACACTACGTACAGCAACTATGATGCATAATGATTGCAGAAGTGATTTTCTTCACAATATCTGATCAGCAAAGTAAATGTTCCAGAATCATCTAACGTCAGCAACCCTTGCTCCCCTGGCAACATCTGTGACCACGCCCATCCCTCTGACTCCACCAAGTTCATCCACTGCGACTCCCAGGGCAACATGTACGTGACACAATGTCCCGGCAAAACCCAGTACAACCCTGGCACAGTCAGTTGTGGGGCTGAACCAGTCCAGGGAGGGGTGTCCTGTGACGTATCCAATCCTTGCACACCAAAAAATATTGCCAATGGTAAATTCTACTTCCCCTACCCTCCCAACCCTTCCAAGTACATCCAGTGTGATACCTTCGGGAAGTCTTGGATCAGGGACTGCCCCGCTGATCTGGTGTGGAACTCTGCTCTCAACACTTGCTACTACAGCACGGGATCAGCTCAGCAGCCGGCACAGGAACCGGCAAAGGAACCTTCTGGCCATACTACCAGTGTTTCCCCACCTGCAGCTACGACCGACGCAAACCCTTGCAACAGCAACAACAACGGTCAAATATTCCCCCACACAGACCGCACCAAGTACATCACGTGTACAAACAACGGCGTGGTCGTTGTCCAGTCGTGTGCGCCGCCCCTCGTGTACGACGATACCATCAAGACATGCAACTGGGCTTAGCTGGCAATGTTTGAACCCACGAGTAACCCTTCAGTTCTGTCAATTAACGTGATCATCTAACAATCTACTGTTCACCATCAAACACCGATTTTGTGAATAAATATAAATCCATTATCTGTAAGTGTATTCCTATTTTTTTTAATACACAATCATGGAAATATGTTCCTGTTCCTATATAATACTATATAGGCCTACTCCCCTATATATTGAATACATAGGAGTTTAGGCCAAGAATCATATACATATATACTACCCTATATATTGAATATATAGAAGTTTAGGCCAACAATCATGTACATATATACTCCCCTATATATTGAATATATAGGAGTTTAGGCCAACAATCGTGTACATATATACTCCCCTATATTTTGAATATATAGGAGTTTAGGCCAACAATCGTGTACATATATACTCCCCTATATATTGAATATATAGGCGTTTAGGCCAACAATCTTGTACATATATACTCCCCTATATATTAAATATATAGGAGTTTAGGCAAACACTTTTGTAAATATATACTCCACTATATATTAAATATATAGGAGTTTAGGCCAACAATCATGTACATATATACTCCCCTATATATTGAATAAATAGGAGTTTAGGCCAACAATCCTGTACATATATACTCCCCTATATATTGAATATATAGGAGTGTAGGCCAACAATCATGTACATATATACTCCCCTATATATTAAATATATAGGAGTTTAGGCCAAAAATCATGTACATATATACTCCCCTATATATTGAATATATAGGAGTTTAGGCCAACAATCATGTACATATATACTCGCCTATATATCAAATATATAGGAGTTTATGCCAATAATCGTGTACATATATACTCCCCTATATATTGAATATATAGGAGTTAGGCAAACACTTTGTAAACATATACTCCCCTATATATTGAATATATAGGAGTTTAGGCCAACAATCATGTACATATATACTCACCTATATATTAAATATATAGGAGTTTATGCCAATAATCGTGTACATATATACTCCCCTATATATTGAATATATAGGAGTTAGGCCAACACTTATGTAAATATATACTCCCCTATATATTAAATATATAGAAGTTTAGGCAAACAATCATGTACATATAGACTCCCCTATATATTAAATATATAGGAGTTTAGGCCAACAATCGTGTACATATATACTCCCCTATATATTTAATATATATGAGTTTAGTCCAACAATCATGTACATATATACTCCCCTATATATTAAATATATAGGAGTTTAGGCCAACAATCCTGTACATATATACTCCCCTATATATTAAATATATAGGAGTTTAGGCCAACAATCATGTACATATATAATCCCCTATATATTGACTATATAGGAGTTCAGGCCAACAATCATGTACATATATATTCCCCTATATATTGAATATATAGAAGTATAGGCCAACAGCCATGTACATATATAATCCCCTATATATTAAATATGTAAGAGTTTAGGCCAACAGCCATGTACATATATACTCCCCTATATATTGAATATATAGGAGTTTAGGGCAACAATCATGTACATATATACTCCCCTATATATTAAATATATCGGAGTTTAGGTCAACAATCATGTACATACATACTCCCTAATACATTAAATATATAGGAGCTTAGGTCAACAATCATGTACATACATACTCCCTAATACATTAAATATATAGGAGTTTAGGCCAACAATCATGTACATATATACTCCCCTATATATTAGTTGTATAGGAGTTTAGGCCAACAATGATGTACATATATACTCCCCTATATATTAATTATATAGAAGTTTAGGCCAACAATCATGTACATATATATATTCCCCTTCTATATTAAATATGTAGGAGTTTAGGCCAACAATCATGTACATATATACTCCCCTATATATTAGTTATATAGAAGTTTAGGCCAACAATCATGTACATATATAATCTCCTATATATTGAATATATAGGACGTTAGGCCAACAATCATGTACATATATATTCCCCTATATATTGAATATATAGGAGTTTAGGCCAACAATTATATACATATATACTCCCCTATATATTGAATAAATAAGAGTTTAGGCCAACAATTATGCACATATATACTCCCCTATATATTGAATATATAGGAGTTTAGGCCAACAATCATGTACATATATACTCACCTATATATTGAATATATAGGAGTTAGGCCAACACTTATGTAAATATATACTCCCCTATATATTAAATATATAGAAGTTTAGGCAAACAATCATGTACATATAGACTCCCCTATATATTAAATATATAGGAGTTTAGGCCAACAATCGTGTACATATATACTCCCCTATATATTTAATATATATGAGTTTAGGCCAACAATCATTATCATATATACTCCCTAATACATTAAATATATAGGAGTTTAGGCCAACAATCATGTACATATATACTCCCCTATATATTAGTTGTATAGGAGTTTAGGCCAACAATGATGTACATATATACTCCCCTATATATTAAATATATAGAAGTTTAGGCCAACAATCATGTACATATATATATTCCCCTTCTATATTAAATATGAAGGAGTTTAGGCCAACAATCATGTACATATATACTCCCCTATATATTAGTTATATAGAAGTTTAGGCCAACAATCATGTACATATATACTCCCCTATATATTAAATATATTGGAGTTTAGGCCAACAATCCTGTACATATATACTCCCCTATATATTAAATATATAGGAGTTTAGGCCAACAATCATGTACATATATAATCCCCTATATATTGACTATATAGGAGTTCAGGCCAACAATCATGTACATATATATTCCCCTATATATTGAATATATAGAAGTATAGGCCAACAGCCATGTACATATATAATCCCCTATATATTAAATATGTAAGAGTTTAGGCCAACAGCCATGTACATATATACTCCCCTATATATTGAATATATAGGAGTTTAGGCCAACAATCCTGTACATATATACTCCCCTATATATTAAATATATAGGAGTTTAGGCCAACAATCATGTACATATATAATCCCCTATATATTGACTATATAGGAGTTCAGGCCAACAATCATGTACATATATATTCCCCTATATATTGAATATATAGAAGTATAGGCCAACAGCCATGTACATATATAATCCCCTATATATTAAATATGTAAGAGTTTAGGCCAACAGCCATGTACATATATACTCCCCTATATATTAAATATATAGGAGTTTAGGCCAACAATCCTGTACATATATAGTCCCCTATATATTAAATATATAGGAGTTAGGCCAACACTTATGTAAATATATACTCCCCTATATATTAAATATATAGAAGTTTAGGCCAACAATCATGTACATATAGACTCCCCTATATATTAAATATATAGGAGTTAAGGCCAACAATCGTGTACATATATACTCCCCTATATATTTAATATATATGAGTTTAGGCCAACAATCATGTACATATAGACTCCCCTATATATTAAATATATAGGAGTTTAGGCCAACAATCCTGTACATATATACTCCCCTATATATTAAATATATAGGAGTTTAGGCCAACAATCATGTACATATATAATCCCCTATATATTGACTATATAGGAGTTCAGGCCAACAATCATGTACATATATATTCCCCTATATATTGAATATATAGAAGTATAGGCCAACAGCCATGTACATATATAATCCACTATATATTAAATATGTAAGAGTTTAGGCCAACAGCCATGTACATATATACTCACCTATATATTGAATATATAGGAGTTTAGGCCAACAATCCTGTACATATATACTCCCTATATATTAAATATATAGGAGTTTAGGCCAACAATCATGTACATATATAATCCCTATATATTGACTATATAGGAGTTCAGGCCAACAATCATGTACATATATATTCCCTATATATTGAATATATAGAAGTATAAGCCAACAGCCATGTACATATATAATCCCCTATATATTAAATATGTAAGAGTTTAGGCCAACAGCCATGTACATATATACTCCCCTATATATTAAATATATGGGAGTTTAGGTCAACAATCATGTACATACATACTCCCTAATACATTAAATATATAGGAGCTTAGGTCAACAATCATGTACATATATACTCCCTAATACATTAAATATATAGGAGTTTAGGCCAACAATCATGTACATATATACTCCCCTATATATTAGTTGTATAGGAGTTTAGGCCAACAATGATGTACATATATACTCCCCTATATATTAAATATATAGAAGTTTAGGCAAACAATCATGTACATATATATATTCCCCTTCTATATTAAATATGTAGGAGTTTAGGCCAACAATCATGTACATATATACTCCCCTATATATTAGTTATATAGAAGTTTAGGCCAACAATCATGTACATATATAATCTCCTACATATTGAATATATAGGACGTTAGGCCAACAATCATGTACATATATATTCCCCTATATATTGAATATATAGGAGTTTAGGCCAACAATTATATACATATATACTCCCCTATATATTGAATAAATAAGAGTTTAGTCCAACAATTATGCACATATATACTCCCCTATATATTGAATATATAGGAGTTTAGGCCAACAATCATGTACATATATACTCCCCTATATATTAAATATATAGGCGTTTAGGCCAACAATCATGTACATATATAATCCCCTATATATTAAATATATCGGAGTTTAGTCAAACACTTTTGTAAATATATACTCCACTATATATTAAATATATAGGAGTTTAGGCCAACAATCATGTACATATATACTCCCCTATATATTGAATAAATAGGAGTTAAGGCCAACAATCCTGTACATATATACTCCCCTATATATTGCATATATAGGAGTGTAGGCCAACAATCATGTACATATATACTCCCCTATATATTAAATATATAGGAGTTTAGGCCAAAAATCATGTACATATATACTCCCCTATATATTGAATAGATAGGAGTGTAGGCCAACAATCATGTACATATATACTCACCTATATATTAAATATATAGGAGTTTATGCCAATAATCGTGTACAT